AGCATCACGACAATGGTTCATTAAGTTCTCTACAACCTTGGGAAATCTAGGATTTGAGAAATGTCATGGTGATCACACTTTGTTTGTGAAAGAAGCCAATGATTCGTTCTTGGTGGTATTGGTATATGCCGATGACATATTGATTGCCAGTACCAATGATGATGCTGTTATTGTCTTGAAACATCAGTTAGCTTCTGCATTTCAGCTCCGAGATCTAGGTCCTCCTAAATTCTTCCTTGGCATTGAGATTGCTAGATCGGATGCAGGTATCGCTTTAAACCAACGGAAGTACATTTTGGATTTGTTGGAGTCTACTGGATTCTCGGACTGTAAGCCATCTTCAATTCCCATGGAGCCCAACCAGAAGTTATCAAAAGATGATGGTGAAGTGCTTACTGATATCAAACAATATCGCAGACTGATTGGTAAATTTCAGTATCTTACAATCACTAGACCAGATATTACATTTGCTGTGTCGAAGCTTGCTCAATATTCTTCAGCTCCGAGGAATACTCATCTTCAAGCAGCTCATAAGGTTTTGAGATACCTTAAAGGTTCGATTGGTCAAGGGCTGTTTTATGGGAATGAAGTTAACTTTGATTTGCGTGGTTTCTCTGATTCTGATTGGGGAGCCTGCCCGGATACGAGACGATCAGTAACGGGTTATGCAATGTTCATTGGAGATTCTTTAATCTCTTGGAAGTCTAAGAAACAGACCATTGTGTCTTTGAGCACTCCGGAGGCAGAGTACAGGGCGATGTGTATGGCGACTAAAGAATTAATTTGGCTTAGTCAACTTCTTAAAGCTTTGCGTGTGCCTTTTTCACCTCCAGCTTACTTGTATTGTGACAACACCTCGGCTCTACACATTGCGAGCAATTCGGTTTTTCACGAAAGAACCAAACACGTCGAGTTTGATTGTCACAAGGTTCGCGAAGCAATTGATCTCGGGATAATCAAGACTATGTACGTCAAGACAGGGAATCAACTTGCTGATGTCTTGAAAAAGGCCTTATACCCTTCTCCATTTCGGGAAAACATATCCAAGATGGGTCTTCAAAATATCTTTGAATCCACATCTTGAGGGGGGGTATCAACATTGTAAATACCGGTTAGATTAGTTGTATTTAATTTTTCCGGTTTAGTTGGTTTAGGCTAGACGTATATATATACTTGTACATTGAGTTTTGATAAAATACAGAAAATATCTTTCATAACAAACTTTCTTTGCTCATGAACTCTATTACTCGATGATAAAGAATTCAGATTAGAGTGTAGAATCTTAGCTAAAGAGATATTGGCATATCAGTCTCATCTTTGCGCAAAAGTCTGGTTCTACCTCTTCACACACACATATTCGTAGGGAATAAAACACTGGAAAATGTTTTTCTTACGATCTAAGGATTCTGAATCCATACAAAATTCAAATCTAGAGACAAAGCGTTAGAACTAAAGAGAGCGACTTCTAGTACAGAGGTCCAAGTCCTACTACGGCGTCCAAGGTGCTGGCGGCGGTGGTGAGAGCGGGTACGAGGGCCACAACGCAGAGAACATGCTGTTCGGGTCAAATTTGAGCTTATCTTCGGCTGATAACGCCGCAACCACAGCGGTGACGAGACCCGCGTTGCCCGTTAGAGTCGGCTCTGTGTAGTTGTAGTTTGCACGAACGTCGTGGAATCCGTCGTGCTTGTCTGGTCCAGCAACCATTGCTCCTTCGATAGTGTTGGGGTTTTCTTGTTTGCTGTCTCTCCATTTCCATCCTCCTTTGCAGCTCACTTTCTCGTTCTTTGGAATCGAAGCTCCTCTGTGGTGTACATGTTTCGGGTACCTCTCCCCAAAACCCACAACATAACTCATGTTCTGAGGGTTCTTCCCGAGTATGTAATCAATCTGCACGTAAACAAGATAGTAAGATAAAGGTCAATACTCTGTTTTTGCTCTGATTTACTCTGTTTCTGCTTAAAAGGCATAGGGATGCATACCTGCGATCTTGCGAAGTCTCGTAGGTCATGGGTAGCGTAGAAAGTAGGGCCGCAGTTCCATCCAGGAATATCAGATGCATGCAGGTAATCACTGTACAACGCGGCTAAGAAAGCCGCATTTGCAGCATATTGGAGAGGCTGCCAATCTCCGTTGTTAAAAAGAATCAGTCCCCCTGTAATTAGCAAAGCAATTAATGTTGTTATACTCTTTCACAGAAAACGATTATCAATTTTATACTCCTAACTAATTACCTCTCGTTTTGTTGCTGAAACTAGGCAAGTAGGAGCACATGATATCTCCTATTTGTTGATGATAGAGGCTCAGCAGTTCTTCATACGGATATCCAGGGCTCAGAAAGAGCCTCAACCGAGTCAACAACAACTAAGTAAATAAGATAGTCAGGTAGTTCCAGTTTTGTTTTTTTTCAATTCAGCATTACTCAAATCTTATAGAACAAACTGATTTGGTTGGTTACCTGAGCCCCGACGATTTTCTTGTCCCAGCTGAAATGACTACCCGAAGATGATGCAACTCGACTAGCCAGAGTGGTACTAGTCACTCGATCAAGGTACTTTAAATCTCCGGTGGCATAATACATCCACGCTCCACCCCATATAAGGTCATCCCAATGCATGCTTGTACTGTCTTTCATTGAATCTGCAAATCTGTAGACGGTCCTTGCACCATGAAGAAGCTTCTTTGAGTATTGTACATCGTCCTTGAATACGATGGAAGCTGAAGCAAGAGCAGCTGCCATTGATGCAGCAAGCTCTGGGCAGTCACCGAAACATACGCTTGCATGCCTTTGGTAATCAATGTCCTCAGGGCGCATCCAGCAATAATGATCATTAGGAACTGCACTGATCTGTGAAAAAAGAAAAGCAAACATCGTTTTAATACATCTGTAAAACGTTTAATAGATCACTATTACAAAATTTATAACTCTCTTACTTGTGACACAAGCTAATAGATTGTAACGTTTTTAATAGATTCATTAAAACAGCACAAGTATGCAAGAAACGCGTAATAGAGAATGCAATAACAAGTAAAAAATTTTACTCTCTTTTACCTTTGACACAAGCTCATAGATTGTATTAGAACGACTCTCGAAGGTGTTGAGAAAGTAGTCAGTTCCCCATTTGATGAGTCCTTTAACATGATTGAGCTCCCCGGAAACTTGGTACGCGGAAGTGTACTCTATAACACTCCAGCTCAACATCTGTCATGGAAAAGGTCATCGGGAAGTTCGATTTGATAGCATCTCCACCGTCATAAAACCCTCCAACTAAATGCATGTGGCTGCTTCTTGGATAATCTCCGTCGTGGAGACAAGAATCACCTCGCCACGACACATTGTTGTTGTGAGGCAATCTCCCAGCTGAAACATCAAAGTCAAAACAATACGAAGTCAAAATAGTTATCAAAATATTACTTTGACCGCCAAAAAAAAAAGAAATAAGAGAAAAAAATACTTACATCTCTGGGCGTTGAAGAAGCGGAGGGATGTCTGGAGAGCTACCGTGAAGTTGTATCCCGGCGGTGGTGGCTCGTTATGGTGCTGCTGGCGTCGAGGCATAATTAGTCCGATACTTACGGAACTAATTATGATCACGATGGCAGTGAAACAGAGAAGTATCTTCATGTTGAGATACTTCTTCTGCTTCTTCACGACTGTCGGTCGTAGGAGCCAGCTCCTCTGGATCTCCTCTGACGGCTGTGATCGAGCAGCCAGCTCCTCAATCTCAAAGTGATGCTGATCGACCTAATAAAAAACAGGCAAGAAACTATTCAATTTCAAGATAAAGAAGAGATGCCTATAATGAGCATATTCACGATTTTCTTAGAGATGGTTTTACACAAAGAAGATAAAAAAATTCTGATGTTTCCGAGAGAAGAACGAGAAGAGAAACCAAGAAAAGAAAGAATGTGGCTCTTTAAGGTAATCGTTCATGGTTATTGTTGATATGCAAATATCGACAAGGAACTAAACAGTAATTTAGATCGGAAGCTCGATTTTATTAGATCGAATCAAGCAAAATACAACTGAGTTCGGTTATTTCGATAGGTAATAACGAACTAAGACTTAATGCGACTAAGAAGCTATCGTAATGAGTTCTCAGTCTTTAAGTCTTCTCGGGAAAATTACTTGTGTTCTCTGGTGTCGATTCGTCTCCCTTTATATATATCTCCTAAGTCGGTCTTCAAGCCCGCCTTCGACGATATGGGACCGAGAGGAGTTTCCTTTTCTCTCGGTTCCTTTCCTCTTCTCTCCCAAGTTTCCTTTTTCCATTAGGAAACTTTCCTGTTTCGACCGAGCTCATGGAAACTCTCTATTTCTTCGAGAGGTTTCTCACCGACCTCGGCCTGATGGGCCGTATTCAGCCCATCTTTGTTCGGCCCATCTTTTCTCGGTACCCCCCTTCGTAAACCGGGCTTATGGTTTACCGATCTCAGTTTGTACCGGAGAAAACCGGGGTACGGTTTTCACCTCCAACAGTTAGCCCCCCCTTCAGTTCGGTGAAAGGGGATGACTTTCAGTCGAACTCATTTCTTAGTTAATGGATCACGAACCGAGCTCGGCAACTGCCGTTGATTCGCATTCCCGGACGTTTCGCCCCTGTCTTCAATGAGGCGCGTGAATTACGGGATCCTTGCGAAAATCGAGGAACCCACGATTCCCACTGTGTATAAAAGGCAAACTTCTTCTCGCATTCATTATTCTCGCCTCAAGCATATATAAGGTACGCTGCTCTCCCTTCTCTATAGATTTCATTTCTCTCTCTAGCTTTTGTTCTTTGTTTCCTCTCGTTTCTTCAACTCTCGCCGCCGCGAATCCTTGATTTTTCCGAGCTATCTTCGAGTTTTCCGTTCGATCTTCAAATTATCCGATCAATCTTCATTCTTTTCCAGATTCCCTTTAGATCTACTTTTCCGAACTCAAAGATGTCTTCCAGCTCTTCAATTAACCCTTCTTCTAACCAAATCCTTCCGGAAGATCGTCGCGAATCCTCAGAACCGAGCTCTTCCTCTTCAAACCCTCATCTATCGAACTCGTCTCAAGAAGAGAATAGCCCTCCACAGTTAGTCCAAAAAAACTCAAAATCGGTTGATGCCAATAGTAGCCGTTCTCGACCACGAGTCGAAGTGACCGGACAACCAGAAGCTCGTGAGACAGATGCTCGTGCTGGGCCGAACATCGATGAGGAGATTGAGGAGATCGAAGGGGTCGAGGAGATTGAGGAAGGCAATGCCGAGGAAAACGTTACTGAAACAGGAGGTGCCGAAGACGATCTTGAGGCAATAATTCATGCTTCACCACCTCTTCTGAGACGAAAAGTCGTTCGCCCCCACATCGTACCTTCTTCTTCCGTTTCTCCTGGCGCCGTTCGTGCCGTGCTTGAAGAAAACGGGCTTGAAGATAAAGTTGTATTTATCATCCCGGAAGCTGGAGATCGGCCATGAGACGTCCCCGAGGGCTTCCTCTGCATCTATCTGACGTATTTTACGCAGTGCGGGCTCTCCTTCCCAATTCCTTCTCGCTTGATCGGCTACTGCAATCGTCGCGGCGTTGCTCTCTCGCAAGTGATGCCAGCTTCGATAACGAACTACGTAGGGTTCATATCTCTTTGCGACGAGCTCGGCAGGGATCCAACTAGTCGGCTTTTTGAAGATCTCTTCTCGGTCAACATCCACAAATCGAAGGAGTGGTTCTTCGCTGCGAACGCCAAGCCGAAGAAGAATATTGTTACTGGACCGAAGCCCAGTAAATTCAACGACTGGGAATCTCTCTACTTTTATCTAGAGATGAACGATCTCACCGTCAGCAACTCTGACATCCCAACTCAATCGGAGTGGAAGATTCCGATCGGTGAACTAGACGAGCTTATACTTTTACTAATTTTTGACCTCATATTTGACTAACTTTCTTTTGTTTCATCTTTCGCAGGTCGTCATCTCCCGAGCCTTATCCTCAACTCCGGACTCACCTCTGAGTTCGAAGAAGCCTTCAGTGAAGCTGGTAAGCATTGTTGGCCTGAGGTTTGGGAAGAAATCCTGCAGTGCCGAGCTAAGAAAACAGGTTTGTTTACTAAATTCCGTTTTTAGTCAGTCTACTTCTTTATTTGCTTCGACTTCCTCCTTTGACAGATTTTCATTGTAGGTTCTGTTCGCGAACCAAAACCGCGGAAACCAAAAACTCGAGCTAGCAAGCCTCGAGCCGCTCCTAAACGCAAAGCACCGAAGTCGCGAACTCAACGCACCCAAACTGCCAGGATGCTCTTAATAGACGAGATCCCAACTCTCTTCGACGAGGAGGAACCGGACGTGGCTGATCCGACCCCAGTCCTTGCTACCGAACAGGCCAATGTACAGCCGGAGGAGTTGCCACCTGCTACGAACTCATCTGACCAGGTTGGTCAGAAGAAGACGAAGAAGAAGAAGTCTTCGAAGAAGAAGAAGTCTTCGAAGAAGACTAAGAAGACAGAGGATTCTCCTCGGGTGCAAGATGTACCCGCTGAGATCGATCCACCGGCGGCTGTGGCGTCGGACCTCGCTCTTTCTCAAGACCGAGCTGAAGCTTCGCACTCCCGCAAGAGACAAACCAGAGACCATGTCGAGGGTTCTCCAGAGCACGGGCCGGCTAAGAGGGTCCGAGTTTGTTTTGACTACGATGAGGAGACTCCTTTCGAGGAGAACGTAGATGCCTGCGTCGAGCTTTATCACAAGATCTCCTCAGAGGTCCCAAGCCTTCCTTCGGTTCCCGAGCTCCGGTTTCCCAACATGTACAAGGGAATCGCTCACACGACTGCAGTGGTAATCTACTCACTTTTTTATAGATTTGGACATTTCTCCAAGTATGAGTTTTAATTCTTGTTTCCTCTGTGCAGCTCGCCAGTCAGACCAATAACTTGGTTGCTGCATACGAAGTAGCCCTGTTCGATGAGCAAGTAAGGGTCTCCGAGCTCGAGGAAAGGGTAGCCAAGGCGGAGGAGCGTCTCGCCACCGAGCTTCGAATTAACGAGACTCTGCACTCTTCGGTGGAGCTATTAAAACAGGAGAGCGCGGAGCTGAAGGCGGTGAAGGCCGAGCTGACTGAGGCTCAGAGCCTACTTTCCAGGGAGTTCGAGAAAGACAAAGGGCGGCTGCAGGACATGGTGGCACATTGGAGGGCTCGGGCTAGGAGCGTGCACGCAAAGGCTTGCGAGCGCCTAGAGAAGGTTATCCGAAGCTTGGATGACGCTGACCGAGCTCGTAAGCCGTACCTGGTCTACAACCAGCTCACTGGGGTCCTCGGTTTTATCAAGCAGCTCAAGAGGAAAGGCTTGTACGAGGTTCCACCCGAGATGGTGGCGGACATTGAGGCGAAGCACACCAAGGCCCTGGAGGAGTTCCGTTCGGTCGACGCTTGCGTCCTTACCGAAGAGGATAAACGGATGTCTCCTTTTGCTGAGGAAGAAGATGCGCCGGCTGTGAACGCGACTCAAAGCGCTCAGGATCCGATGATTGGTGAGCAGTTCGGTTCTAACGAAGAGATGCTGAAGGTCGATCAAGCTGCCACCTCTAAGACTGCTTAGTTTTTCTCCTTTCTTCTTTTTAATCGAACTCGACTATCCTTGCATGGGTTCTTTTGTAATTTTTATTTCTTTCTGGGCCCTTGGTGGGCTTCCTTTGAACTTGTTTGCCTTTCAGGAGGCTTTTAAATATATGCTCGTTCTTCTTATTTCTTGCCTTGAAAATTTAGAAAATATATGCTCGGCATCTAACTCGAATTTTAACTTCGTTTCGTCGGTAATGATTTGAGATTAGTGCTCAAGTACTAGATCGGTATATAAGAGATGATATTTGAACGTGGTTTTCATCTTTTGATAGCGAATTGCGATAATTCGGCTTACGTTTTGCGAGTGTTGTGAACTCGGCTTATGGTGCGAATATGAGGAGTTCGGCTTATTGTGCGAGCATACGAGCTCGGCCTGGGGAACCCAAGTGAATCATTTCGTACTGGAAGAGTGAACTAGTTCGAACTCCTGTAAACGCACGAAACGAGTTCAAGGTTTTTCTAAGTCGAACCTAAGTATGCGAGATGTGCTCGGCTTATTGTTCTTGGTGACTTAGAAATTCAACTGCGGGACTGGGCCCGGCTTTTGATATGTGGCTTAACCACGACACCATGTGGGTGCTCGCGAGACGGATCTCGGCTTTTAAGTTTGCATTCATGTGGAATGCTATCGAACAACTGGCCAGGAAGTCGATGTAAAGACAAGGAGTTCGGTCCCTTGTGATTTCCGAACTAAAACTTAGTCATATTTGACTTAATAAAATTTTATTGATGTTATAGCTGGACTCGGTAACGAGCTGCCTACGTACCCTTTAAAGGGATCAAGCCATTCGTAGTTCTAAGTACAAAAGGGGTTTTTGCTACGGCCTAAGCAGAAGGCCGTAGGTTCGACCCCTACCTGGCGCGCCAATTGTTGATATGCAAATATCGACAAGGGACTAAACAGTAATTTAGATCGGAAGCTCGGTTTTATTAGATCGAATCAAGCAAAATACAACTGAGTTCGGTTATTTCGATAGGTAATAACGAACTAAGACTTAATGCGACTAAGAAGCTATCGTAATGAGTTCTCAGTCTTTAAGTCTTCTCGGGAAAATTACTTGTGTTCTCTGGTGTCGATTCGTCTCCCTTTATATATATCTCCTAAGTCGGTCTTCAAGCCCGCCTTAGACGATATGGGAGCGAGAGGAGTTTCCTTTTCTCTCGGTTCCTTTCCTCTTCTCTCCCAAGTTTCCTTTTTCCATTAGGAAACTTTCCTGTTTCGACCGAGCTCATGGAAACTCTCTATTTCTTCGAGAGGTTTCTCACCGACCTCGGCCTGATGGGCCGTATTCGGCCTATCTTTGTTCGGCCCATCTTTTCTCGGTACCCCCCTTCGTAAATCGGGCTTATGGTTTGCCGATCTCGGTTTGTACCGGAGAAAACCGGGGTGCGGTTTTCACCTCCAACAGTTATGTTGCTTGGGGAACAAGTTTTAGCCACTATTCATGGTTATGTTGTTTGGGGAGGAATCAGTTGTAGAGGTTCCACACACTGTGCCTGTGACAATGGATACATCAGGCCATAATAGGAAGTTTATGATGAGTACCTACATGGTTTCAAAACTACTGCTTGTACACAAGTTTCCCGCAGAGAAAGTCAACAGAAGAGCTATGGTATGTTTCGAGGCTCAACTTTTAGAAATCGGTTGGGTCAAATATTTAGTTGAGTCTTGCCGGGCTTATGGCCCAATACCTGATTGGGTGCAAGTTCTTAAGAGCTATGGTATGTTTCGAGGCTCAACTTTTAGAAATCGTTTAGAGAGTCGGAATGCGGAGAGAAAACACTTTAAAAAAAGGAAGATAGATTATGGATATAGGCGTAAAGTGTGGTTCTCATCTCTTTAGCTATGGATTTCGATCGCCTGATCCTATAAACCCTCTTAGTCATAATGATCTGATGAGGATGGAAGATGAGAAGGAATCAATGGATGAGAACAGATTTGATAGGGTTACTAGAGTTTCAAAACATGGTGATTTATATCATGAAAATACTGGGTGGACACGTTATGAGACTAGTAATGATGGAGATAATGATACAAGAATATAGAGAGCGGGTATAGATTGGTGAATTTTGGAGTTTTAGCAATGCCACTCACTATCTTGAATCTTTTGTTCTTACACCTTGAAGACAAGGGGTGTTTTTCAGAAACGTGTAATGGCAGTTGTAGATAAAACGGATATTGAAAAGAAAAATAAAGAGAGTGGAAACGTCATTGAATATTCTTTTGAGAAGTCCTATCCTTGTGACTTGGGAACTACAAATGGCGCCATTGGACACAAGCTGGCCATGGTAAGAGAGACATATAGCTACGTATATAAAGAGGACTTTGTGGCAAATTATTGGAATCATTCATAAAGAACAAGGTGCAGCTTTAACAGATGGTGAGGGAGAGAGGTTTTTTTTTTTTTAGGTAAAATGTAGAGATGTGAGAGAGAGAGATGAGAACAAAAGGAAACATACAGATTCATTAGGGTTGATGGATGATGCAGAGGCTGAAGTGCCAATCATCATCATTCTGCTATTATCTCCATCCCTAAACATCTTCCCACTGTTACAAAACCAATGTTTTAAAGGTTAATAGCATATCCTTTTCTGAACGTAGTCAAACAGAGTCACTACAGGAAAAATGGGTATTCTTAACGAACGAAAAACGCTATCTAGTTATATGATAGCGGTTTAGAAAGCGCTCTGTCATCCACCGCGATAATAGGTCCGTCACATTACATAACGGTTTTTTGTATGCTATGGTTACGTCATATACGATAGCGTTATTTTCGCGCTATTTTATATTTAACAATAGCATTTAATTTATGTTATTTTTATGACATTTAATAGCGTTTTAAAATAATTCTTATAGCATTTTTATTATGTTATATATAGATGCCAATTTTAAAGATTTTATTGGTTTTATTCGATTATTTAAATTTAAATATAAAATTATAAATTGTTAAAAATAAAACATATAATGCAAATACAAATTTTATTAATAATCGAACGTAGACAACTTCAGATTCACTTCAAAGAAAAACATAATGACACCACATCTCAAAGTTCAACATTATTTCCCAAGTTCACACAAACATAAGCTTTTCACGAGTTCACACAAACATAAGCTTGTCATTAGGCCATGCAACAGTTGTACCTAAAGCATCAGAAATTACTTCTATTTCTGAATTTGGTCTCCACACTTTTGCATCTCCAATCTTTGCTACTTCTACCCATACCTTGCTAGCGTTCGGACCTAATGGGACAAAGTGGATTTTGTCTTCTGGATTGGTTGAACAAACTCTCCCTTCCGCAACGATTTGTCCAGAATTATTGCAATCTAACAACATACACTTCTTCTTCCCACCTGATTTGTTGGTGTCGATGCTGCAACTTACACTCTACAATTCAAACAAATGATACACTCTACTCAGAAATAGTCATCACCAATAGCATAAAAAAATATATATACTTTTAGAGAATAGTTTTACCCTAGGTGATGATGCTACTGGCGATGGTCTTGTTGGAGGTATACAACTGAGCACTACCTTCTTAATAGGCCATGCGATAAACTCACCAAGTGCATCACCCATCATGAACATTTCAGTTGTAGGTCTCCACAAATAACCGTCTGGTTTGACAACCTTCTCAACCTTCACGATAGCAGCGTTTGGTCCGAGAGGAATCTTGTTAGCCATTTCTTTCGGATCAGTTGACCACAAACGACCCTCAGCAACCAATACATTCTCCGAATTCCAATCAAAGATTAGGATTTTATCAAGTGCTTCCTACGATCATTCGTAAAAGACATATGTATGAGCATAAACGTATATGTATGTAAGTCATTCTACAAGTTATAAAGAGTAAAAGTAAACATGCAATTACCGATGAACTAGCATTATGAGTTTCAGTTTGGGTGTCTGTATCATCGTCCAAAATAATTTTATCAGCAGGCCATGCAATTTTTGTCCCAACAGCTTCGCCAAGTGCGGCAACCAGGGTTGTTGGCCTCCATAGAAATGCATCTTTGTTGGTGACGGTTTTGACTAGTACCACTGCTGCATTAGGACCAAGTGGTATACGCCCAATCTTGTACGTGGGTTCAGCCGAGCAGAACTCTCCTTCTCCAACAACAACATCATCTACTAAGGACCAGTCCAGTATTTGACACCTAGTTACAACCTTACTACCATGACTAGTGTCCGTCATAGACACATCATCATACTGTGAAGACAATACTCAAAGTTAATAAAACAAAGCATTTAAACTGATTTTATCAAGCCCATGAGTGAAAGTTCAGTATCTAACCTTTTTCCCTTGAGCCAAGTCACGAACTACAGTTTGGAGATCTTCAATTTTGGTGATCAATTCAGCCTGCTTTGCTTCGAGCTGTTTGACATGGGCGTCTCTAGACTGAACGAATGCTAGCTTCGTCGCCGTAACTCCTCTGCCCATCCCTCTAACCCTTCCAGACTTTTCTTTTCCTAACACTTGGCTGACAGCATCCTCTCTAATATTAGTGCTAGCTGTGGAACCCAATTCACTATCAATGGATTTTATTTGTTCCTGCCACAAATATTTAATAAAAATTATTAATTGTACGCATAACAAAGAATGCTTATCACTTAACTTAATTCTAAAACCATATGCACGTACAATGGTTTCTGCGAATTCTGGTCTCACTGGTTTTCCATCGGAATGAGTGTGTCCTGCAACCCACACTTGAGTCCTACTCACCTTGCTAGGGTCAGAACTCTTTTTCTTCTACAAGTAAATAAGGCCGTTTAATGAAATTACCAAACTAAGTTGTAAATTTAATACAAACATAAGACCCTAAATTACTTACCAATTCATGAGCTAGCCGGATCATTCCTTTTCGACTGGTTGTGTGGGGAATTTGCGCCCTCCTAAGTTCCCTATATCTGTCACTTTGAACCTACATAAGCAATCCGACAATCAATAATAATTACAAAACAAACAAGCAATGAATCTACATATGCATAGTTAAGCATCAACAAACCTTAAATTCTTCACTAGTCCTACTCTTTACCCAATTTTTCCATGCTGCGACAGATTGTATGTTACTAGGTTTTAACTCAAGTATTTGTCTCTTATTTGCGTTGCGTACTTGGGAGAGAAGTCTAGATTTTGAAGAACGCCACAGACAACCCATCTGTTTGAAAACACAGTCCTTTTGCCACTCTTCAGTTAAATTGAACCTTCCCTATAATAATTAAAATTTTATACATTAGTAGGTTTGAGTAATATACCATTCAAAATATACAAAGGAGTTTTGTATTACAATATAGAGAATACCTGTATTTGCTCCCATAGAATGGCTTTGGTTTGATCATCTAGGTGCCTCCAATCGTCAAGTAGGACTGAAACATGCTCCCGCACCAGAGGACCAAGGAAAGATGAGAGTGTTATTGATCCTTTACCACAATGTTCACCAATCGATGTAAACTCAACGTCAACCTTATCTTCATGGTGTTTAGCAACTGCAAGCATCTTAGTTGGCCCTCTTGTTTTCCTTTTGTTATTATTTTCAGCATCATGTTGAGGTTCTCCATTTGATGGTTGCACAGTCGGCT